TTGGGGATGGTCACACTTGCCAGTGAACTGCAGGATTCAAAGGCTCTATTCCCAATCTGGGTCACTGAGTTCGGGATGGTCACAGAAGCCAATGAGCTGCACCCTTGGAAGGAACCAGAGCCAATCTCGGTCACGGAGTCCGGGATGGTCACGCTGGCCACTGAGCTGCATTCTCTAAAGGCACTCTTGCCAATCTGGGTCACGGAGTCAGGGATGGTCACACTTGCCAGAATTCTGCAGCGTGTGACAGATTTGATATCTAACCCGAGCCGAGCCCTGGGCGCAACCAAAGTCAAAACCCAGCAATGTGCAAAAGCTAACTCGTCAATGTCGACCACGGAGTCGGGGATGGTCACTGTTCTCAACGATCTGCACCCCATGAAGGCTCTAAACCCAATAAACTGGACTGAGTCGGGGATGGTCACACTTTCCAACGAGCTGCAGTCTGCAAAGGCTGCATCCGGAATCCGAGTCACTGACTCGGAGATGGTCACAGTTGCCAACGAGCTGCACCCTTCAAAGGCACCAGAGCCAATCTCGGTCACGGAGTCTGGGATGGTCACACTGGCCAAGGAGCTGCATCCTGCAAAGGCATAAGAGCCAATCTCTGTCACTGAGTCCGGGATGATCACACTTGCCAAAGTCTTGCATCCCTGGAATGCTTCTGGAACGATTTCAGTTGCACCGCCTGGGATTTGAACTACGAAAAAAGAGTTCAAGTCAATCTCATCGCCAAACTGGGCAAGCTCACCTTCGTGGGAGCATGTCACAGCGTTGCGTCTCAGAATTACGGTCACATCCGATTCTGGACAAAGGCCTGCATCTGCAGCTGTCTCGTCGTTCGTCAGCAATCTGCTCGGCCCCACGAGAATGTCAACCCGGGTTGTCTTACGCGTGAGTTCGTCGTCCCAAGGCTGGCACTCCTTGATCCACTCCTTGAGTTCCCGACCAGTCATTTCTGGCATGACTTCAAGAACCATCGCTTGGCCATTCAGCTGTCGAAATGACACCTCCATCGCTATGGCTGCACTTGATCCTCAAACACTTCAATGGCCGCTTCAATCAGCTTCAAGGCTTCCAGAATCTACTCCACTGGAAACGAAAAAGACGTCAGTCCGCAAAAACGTCCCCAGCACCAGATCATCAGAAAGCGGCAAAAAAGAAGAAAAAGGCCCCAAAAAGAAACGATCAACCAATTCGGTGGTTCTTTCTGGTGTGGTTCGTTTGGCGTTCGCTTCCAGGCTGGATCCACACATCGACGTCGAAACGGTCGACCGAAGAACCGGACCCTGTAGTGGTACATATGGTAAACGGCGACAAAGGGCTGTTCAACCGAGCCGACGTTTGCGACTTTCCACGTCGCTCACATCGCAACCAAGCTGTCTGCGGCGCACGTCGTTCCCCCCAGAAGCCGCCAGACCGTGGCGGTGCAAACGCGGCCGACGCGGTCGACGGTCCGCGGTCCCGACGCGAACAGCTCTCGCTGCACCGAGGCGACGGCCCGACAGCTCCGTGTCCCCGAACCCGTCGATCGATCCACCCTATATAGATCCACTGCCGTACCTGTGTGTCCCGAAGGCTCGGTCGGTTTTGGGGGATGCGCCCACAAAACAAGTCTCAAAAACCGGAAACCTCAGGATGTGGATCCATATAGGGACAGTCTTTTGTCAGTCTGCACCTTAACTTAGCAACATACCTACGAATCCACTTCACATCAGAAACACATTATAATGATCATTTGATGCAAGAATCTGGGTTCTTGCCGTGATCATCTCACCATTCAAATAAAGCCAACACGCTGACAAACTCAAACCCCTCCCTCCACCAAGTCCCGCCTCGTCTTGTCCAAGTCGCATCCCTCGTCCCGTCGCCCCACCGTCTCACCTCCAGGGCGGGTGAAGCCGAACTGGAAGAGGGAGGACGTCGGAGGCATGGTGGGGAAAAACCACGAAACTTGTTTTGCTGATCTTCCTAAGGAGCGATCGGACGCTACGAGTTCACGGGGCTCCTGGCATCGGAACAAGAAGCTACGATCGGGGCGTCGCTGGCATTACGACGAACGGAGCGTTCGGACGCTACTAAGATCTATACCCAGTTGGTGGCGCTCAAAAATGGATTCGGTGAAAGACCTGGACTCTCTTCGTCCGGGTCCGACGTGGTGCCATCCTCGTCTCCGGCCTTAAACATGCAAGTGACCTGAGTCACAGGTGAGGATTCAGTCACTTCAAAGAAACAGGCCTGCTTGGTGATGTTGCGTTTGTTGCTTTTGTTGCTTAAGAAACCCCTACAAAACCGAGCACCTGTCCTTCTCCGATTCGCGAGCTCCAGGATTCCCAAACCGATCACCGGCCGCTCTCTCTGAGCTCCGGAGCCCGCCTGTACGTTTCGCAACCACTCGCACGACCGGAAGCGAGTTGTTTGATCTGATCCCCTGGTCTTCCGAACCGGGCGACGCTCAGAAAACGAAGACATCTGCTCAGTGAAAATTGGTTGCGAAGCAGCAAAGTAGAGCAGTTGACGTGATGTCGTTTGGAGTCTTGAGTGCTTTTGGGGTCGTGTTGATGAATTTTGTGGTCGCGAACTTGAAGCAAAACGTCGTCAAAGATTGATCAAAGACTGGCAAACTGGAACTTTGATCTGAACTGCTCGACATCGCTGTGGAAAACACCTCTCAACAGAAAACATCACGAGGTTTCCGCTGTGATGTTCACCTCACCGAATACTCCAGATGACCTACACCGGTTATTCGTCTGCCTCCACTCCTCCGCCATCGGAGCTGTCCTCCCATCGGTCGCCCCTGCGCAAAGGAGCTGTCCCCACACGTCCATTGCTTCGGGGGGGTTGAACCAGTGGAACAAACCGTTTCAATGCGTGGAACAAACCGCGGGGAAACCGTTTCTCCACCAAAAACCAAAAGTGAAGACCTCTTCGGCATCCAAAAAGGAATTAGAATGTTGAATGTGGAGACCTTTTTGTAGCTGCTTAATACTTTTGGAATGTGGAGACCCTGTTTATAGTTGTTGAGTTTGGAACCTGTTGCAGGACATGAAAGCAATCGAGTTTCAAAGTGGCTTCGACTCTGAACTCGAACCTCAGAACCCAGGCAAAAGTGCGGAAATGGCTGCCAATCTCCGAAGAACCAGCAACAACTCACCAAAAGACTCCAACTCACTCGGCGTCGACGGCGTAAGGGTCGGGTCAGGTCGACCGTCCATCCGCCCTGAGAACGCAAGGATCAATGCCCTGATCATCCGCCAAAACACGCGCAGCTGGCCCTTTACCTGCAGCCTGGTGTATTTCGGTGTTGGCCAAAAATAGGTGGCTCCAAAGAAATTCTGGGTTTGTAGGTGTGATACGGGTCACTATATGTGACCCAAGCTTCATTCATTGAAAATGAGGCCTTTGTATATCTTCTCAAAGGGTTTTAGTGCATCTCTGGAGTATGTTCTTGAGTGGGTAGACATTGAGATGCTTCAGTGTTTAGCCATCATTCAGTCACACTCGGCTGCGTGGAAGATGCATGAAAGTGCATAGCATGCTTCAAAAGGACTCTCAGCGACGTCAACGGCCGCGGGGATGTCAAGATCCCCGCCGTCGAGGACACTCCCAGCCATCCAGAAACCACTTGTAGTCGCACTCTTGACATTCACATTCTTTGGCTAGAATCCGCTTGCAGCCCTTCAAGGCAGCAAGCTTCAACCTTTTGCGAGTGATGGGCACGACCAGAGTCAAAGCACTGCAGTTTGAAAAGGCACCACTCCCAATCTTGGTCACGGAGTCGGGGATGACTACACTCGTCAAAGCGCTGCAGTCTCCAAAGCGGTGATCCCCAATCTGGGTCACTGAGTTGGGGATGGTCAAGCTTGCTAAACAGCTGCACATTCCAAAGGCTGCTGTCCCAATCTGGGCCACGGAATCCGGGATGGTCACACTAGCCAAGGAGCTGCATCCTGCAAAGGCACTAGTGCCAATCTGGGTCACTGAGTTGGGAATGGTCACACTAGCCATGGATCTGCATCGTGCAAAGGCGCTCATGCCAATCTGGGTCACTGAGTCCGGAATGGTCACACTGGCCAAAGTCGTGCATCCTATGAATGCATCCGGAACGATTTCAGTGGCACCGCTTGGGATTTCAACCACAAACAAAGACTCCAAGTCAAATTCCTCGCCAAACTGGTCAAACTCCCCTTTGTGGGAGCACGTCACAGCATTTTGTCTCAAAATTACTATCACGTCTGATTCTGGAGTGAGGCCCGCATCTGCAGCTGTCTCGTCGTTCGTCAGCAATCTGCTTGGCCCCGCAAGAATGTCAACCCGGGTTGTTTTGCGTGTGAGTTCATCATCCCAAAGCTGGCGGTCCTTGATCCGCTCCTTGAGTTCTCGACCAGTGATGTCTGGCATGACTTCGAGAACCATCGCTTCACCGTTCAGCTGTCGAAATGAAACCTCCATTGCCATGGCTGCCGTTAAAACTCTATACAAAGATCGATGGATGGCTGAAAGAGATTCTTCTTGACTCCTCTGGAGTAAGAAGACTTGATCCGAAACCTTAGAGATCCTCATCAGGCACCACTGGCCTTCTTACAGCAACCGACCCCTTTTCCGCTCGGTCACACGGGCCACAGAAGCTCGCCACGCCGCTCCGCGACGAGGAGGAGGTTCCGCGCAACCCGTGTCCCCGAGGCGATGTGCGATGCGATGTGCGATCGGGACATCGTCAGAGACAGAAAAACGACCATCGCTTATAGTAGATTGAAAAACATCGTGACGTTCTTGTCGACAAAGTCTCTGTCTGTTCAGAAAGGAAAGCGTTTGATCCCCACAGCCATCTCTTCCTTTCAGCCCGGTTCAGACGACATGGGAAACACTGTTTTTTCATAGGTCATGGCTTAAGGGCCCCCCCTGTGAAAGCCCCCAGGAATATTTCTAAATTATTCTGACCCCCCTTGAGTTAGTTTCCAAATATTATTCTGGTAACTGGTTGAGTTGCACCAATATTTGTTCAGCTTTCTCTACATCTTCATATAAAAAACGTATCAACACAGCCCTCACACAGCAAGAGCAATCTGACATCTACTGGCACCAAAAGCCTGCTCAAGAGCCACTGGGATCTTTTGGGAATGAAATAAATATATCCCCAAACCCTACTAACCCCAAGCCTGTCAGCCCAACATACCACCACAGGGAAAAGTATTCCTGGGGGAATCTTAGTTTACAACAACCCCTCTGGATAATTAGGACTACCCCCACACACCTGCTATTGGCACCAAAAGCCTGCTCAAGAGCCAGTGGGATCTATTGGGCATGAAATACATATTTTCCCGATTCGGTCGCAGCAAACCAACGATCCTCAAAAACGGCATGAACTCAACTCGATGCAGATTGGGTAAATCGCCCTGAAAACGCCGATGAAGACGCCATCGTCGACGCCAACTCTCCGTCGCCAACGGTCCTTGGAGCAATCTCCGGGCGCGTTCGCGGCGCGGCGCAGCCCCACGGAGTTCCTTGTGTCGACGAAGAGGACGGTCAAAACACGAGTTCTGCACGGTCAGGGAAATTCGGTCGAAGCAGGGCGGTTGGAAAAGATGATGGTAATGTTAAGATCATTTAAGATCTACAGATCTGTGGTGCGGACTAAGACCCCGAATTCGTGGCAAATTGACGGAGAAGAACCTTCACCAGTCACAAGCCTTGAACCAGGCGAGCTCGACCTTGAACCAGGCTCAAGTGACCTCACTCCAAGGTGAGAAACCAGGCACTGCGAACCAGGCAGTGGCAGAAGAGTTGTGTTTGAGTTGCTGACCATACAAAGAAGAATCAAGAAGATCTTGGTAGCTTCAAAAACAAATCTTTCAAACAAAGCGGACAAACATCTTCCCGGCTTCAGGACCACTGTGAAGGAATATACAGCCAGCAACAATCCAGAGGGTCTTGGGAAAGAAAGTAGCCTGACATGGTCATCTGCCATCAGTCTCAGGTCATCCTCCCAACCGAAGCAAGGGCGTGACCAAGATTCATGATCGTTCATGCAAGGCCTTGGTCACTTCCGAAGGCGGCATCAAACGGAAGAGAGACCGTGTGGAATCTCCTCCGTGTGCCTCAGTCCTGAGTCCTGGAGTAAGACCCCCAAAACGGAGAGGTCGGTGAAGCTGAGACCCCCAAAATCAGGAGATGGACCGATCGACTGGTGGCACATCGTCACATCGTCCGCTCTCAGATCGTCACCCTCCCGGTGTCCTACGACCCTTCAGGTCCTACCCCCTCGTTCACCTCCGGCTCACAATGGAAAGGTCTATCGGTATATACCCTGTCGTTGAGTCAATTGATAACACCATGCTTATTCCTGAACGGTACATATAGCTTGCTTTTCTCAGGCTCTCAGCGAGGGTGGCCATGTCGGACATGGCCATGATGTGAAGATCACCTCCGTCGTGGACACACCCAGCCGTCCTGAAACCACCAGTACTCGCACTCTTGACATTCACATTCTTTGGCCAAAATCCGTTTGCAGCCTCTGATGGCGTTAATATCTACTCTGACCCGAGTGATGGGCACTTCCAAAGTCAAAGCGCTGCAACCTGCAAAGGCGTCGTTTCCAATAAGAGTAACCGAGTCAGGGATGGTCACACTTGCCAACGACCTGCAGTTTTCAAAGGCACAACACTCAATCTGGGTCACTGAGTTGGGGATGGTCACACTTGCCAACGAGCTGCAGGACGCAAAGGCGCTAGACCCAATCTGGGTTACTGAGTTGGGGATGGTCAGACTTGCCAATGAGCTGCATTCTGCAAAGGCTAAATCCCCAATCTCGGTCACTGAGTTGGGGATGGTCACACTTGCCAACGAGCTACACAGTAGAAAGGCACCGCACGGAATCTGGGCAACTGAGTCGGGGATGGTCACAGTTGCCAACGATTTGCAATCCACAAAGGCGTGATCGCCAATCTCGAAGACTGATTCCGGGATGGTCAGACTTGCCAACGAGCTGCACGATCTAAAGGCTTCAACCCCAATCTCGGTCACTGAGTTGGCAATGGTCACACTTGCCAACAAGCTGCAGTACTCAAAGGCAGTATCCCCAATCTGAGTAACTGAGTTGGGGATGGTCACACTTGCCAACGACCTGCATCCTGCAAAGGCACTCATGCCAATCTGGGTCACTGAGTTGGGGATGGTCACACTTGCCAATGACCTGCATCCTGTAAAGGCATTTACGCCAATCTGGGTCACAGTTTCGGGGATGGTCACTCTAGCCAACGACCTGCATCCTGCAAAGGCACTCATGCCAATCTGGGTCACTGAGTGGGGGATGGTTATGCCAACCAAAGAGCTGCAGTCTAAAAAGGCTCCATCCCCAATCTCAGCCACTGAGTCAGGGATGGTGACACTTGCCAATGAGCTGCATCCTGCAAAGGCAAAACTGCCAATCTGGGTCACTGAGTGACTGATGGTCGCACCTGCCAAAGTTGTGCATTGACTGAATGCGCCCTGATCAATTTCAGTGGCATGGCTTGGGATTTCAACTACAAAGAATGACTCCAAGCCAATCTCATTGCGAAACTCGGAAAACTCACGGCAGTAGCTGTCAGAGCATGTCACAGTGTTTCGTTTCAATACTACGGTCACCTCTGATTCTGGAGAAAGGCCCACATCTGCAGCTGTCTCGTCGTTCGTCAGCACCCTGCTCGGCCCCAAGACAACGTCCACCCGAGTGGTTTTACGCGTGAGTTCATCGTCCCAAAGCTGGCACTCTTTGATCCGCTCCTTGAGTTCCCGACCAGTGACTTCTGGCATGACTTCAAGAAGCATCGCTTCCCCATTCAGCTGCCGAAATGGAACTTTCATGGGTCTATGAACTCAACAGCTCGAGAATCGCAATGGCCTGGAGATTCATCTCTACTTTCGTATACTTCTCATCCTTAATTCTTCATTTTTTTTGGAACCCAGTCCCGGGTCTAACACCCACAAGAACCATCCATTTGAGTCGACTGTCCCACTCAAAAACCTCTGAGACCGTCACCTCTCTGTTTCCCCTGCCGATCTCTCCTCGCCTCGACGCTCGCTCACCGCTCCGCCCGCGCAGCCTCGCGAGGTCGGTCGGGACCACAACGAAGTGCAACGAAGAGGAACGGAGTGACAACACGGCCGACGGTGATGGTGTGTGTTTGTTGAATTACGTCCCTCACTTTGAGGCGTCCAGGACTTCTCTTTTTGGTTCACCTCAAAGCAACGCAGAAATGGGCAACAAAACATCACGACGGGCGGAAAGAACATCTTGGTGTTGGACAACTTGGATAATTGGTAAAGGACAGGCAGTAGAAACTGTACTTGTTGACAATCATGTGGGAATATCCACGCTCTTTGGAACCAGGACTGTTCCGGCTACAAACTTTCAAGAACGCCACCCCCGAAGAAAAACTTAATGGTGAAGCTCAACATGTCTTAAACGAAAGAGTGAGCAGGATGCGATCACATCACTTGATGCACGGCACTGCCCCATGCGCAGCAAGCCCTTCGCTACCGGACGACCTCCCGATTCTCGATCCAAGTGACGTCAGGCGTGGCTGTCCTCCTTCTTCCCATCCTCCAGCATGTGAAAGGTGCCCAACACCGGAAGACACGCTCCTCACTGGAAGACGCTGGGACCGACGGACCGACGGACGTTTCTTCAGACGGAGGTTGGCCCAAAAAAGGGACTTTCCGACGGGTCACTTGACTCGTGCGACTCACCGCGTTCGTGCCGCTCACCGCGTCATTTTCATCGATCCCATGATCCCATGATCCCATGATCCGGGTCGTTGCTTGACAGAGAGAGCGGGCTGAGAACGGGCAGAATCCGACATAAACCGGATTTCAATAACATAGAATAACCCTTCTGGTTAGGATATCCAACACAACCTAACCAGAAAGGGTTGAGTTCGTTTGTTTGTGCTATACTTAAATACCTAACTTCAATAGGACAAACAAACTACCTCGGTTTTTGCGGTCAGTATATAACTGAGGTAAAGTTGTTAAGTTGTTAAGGGGTTCATATGTATGATCATGCATATGATCCCATTTCGGACACCTCAATAATTTGTCAAGCACGTGTGACGCTCACCATGATCTATCCCACATCCAAAATCCACTGCCAAAAAGCAAAAGAAACGTCCCACGTCTCCCTGTCTCCAAGCGAGATGTGAGCAGTGTCCCTCGCCCTCCCACCTCGTTTCTCCTGCGGGCCGCTCCCTCGGCCTCCCCCAAAAGGGCCTTCCCCTTCATTAAGGCCCTTCGTCCGACCCTTCGCCTTGGCCGCCAGGAGTCCCAAAGTGAGCACCAAACAGAGACTGCCTTGCAGAAAGTAGGAGGCCTCCGTCAGATCTATCAACCAAGCCTCAGCTCGCTCTGTCGAACGCACACGGAGCACAGCGGAACGAGCACAGCGGTGGAACACGGGTCGAACCCTCGAGGGGCCGGGTGGTCGGCGGTGCTCGGCTGCGCTGGCGGTGCCCAGAGCTTCGGCTGATCTAGGATCGACCAGCGCCATGGTTTGAGGGGTAACAACTATGGTCCTGATTCCGAAATCAAGGAAACAACCACCTGTGATGGTCCGCCCGACGCCAAGTGAACCTTAAAAGGATCGTAAACTTCAGGCAGAAGTGCTACAGTACCAAAAGAGTCGCCAAACAGGGTGAGTCGCACCGAATGGAGCTGTCCCCTCGGACCTTTGTTCAAGGTTTGATTTCCAGACCGCAGGTCAGGGGTCAGACAAAAGGCGGAAGTCATCACTTCGAACATGTTTGGACTTGTTTGGGCAAAAATGGTGCAGAATTGGCAGAATGCTGTTGGCCATCCGAAGAGTCCTGATATGCCAATCAGTCATCGGATTGGTCGAAAAGCTGATAAAGCTGATGCCTCCAAATCCACGAACCACCGAACTTCGTGCAATTCTCTTCATGGCGAAGACCGGGAAGCAGCTGAAACCAAGGCGCCATGCCAGCACCCAGGGATTGCACCCCCTGCAGATGTTGGGAGAAGAGACGAAAAACAAGAATTCTTCCAGACCGTGGAGAATTCCCAACACCAGTACCAGTGGCTGAGGATTCTTAGTGAAGGCATTTCTCAAAAAATCATGATAATCTTTTGCCGACTGTCACTGGTCATGAGACACAAAACTGAGTTGTGCAGGAGAACAAAAAGCCAACAGAACTGGGATAACCAACCAAACTGGGATGTTCATCTGCGCGGGAACCCCGGCTACGGTTTTGACCCACACTGATACACCACTTCTCCGTCAAAGTTGGGCAAAAGAATGAGCAATACAAGCGATCTTCTCTACAAATGATCAACAAACGAGCTTGTAAAGTGAACACTCTCGGGCCTCGGCCTTGTTGGAATCGATATCTTCGGCTTGTGAGCATCTGAAATCTACTGTACAGCTGTTTCCACCTAAAGGAAACCTTTTCTTTAGAATAAATTGCTAAGCTGTGCTTCACCGGTTGCGCCGCTCTCTACACACCCAGAGAGAGAACGAAGACTGGAGTACTGGAGACGAAGAAGAACAGTCTCCGCCGTCGGAAGGAGACTGGGGCGACTCGGGCCCGGTGAGGCCCTGTGAGGGGATCTTGCGGTCTGGCGCCGCAGAAAGCGAGGCGAAGCCAGCCAATGTGTGAGGGTGCACCCCTGTGAGACTGCTTCTGCAAACATCGTCCAAGTCCAGGAAGAGTGACCACTGACCTGCACTTCGCAAACATCCAAGGAGACCATCCGCTGCGAAGACTTTGAGCTAGCCAGCAGCTACCCTGGACCCTCGGGCGGTCGGGGGGGCTGTTCCTTTCTCCACCGGACCCACCGTTCTCCCCGTAGCCTTCGGAGCTTCTGTTCCCACCGGCCTTGTAGGCAGCAGAGTACATCACCGTCTTGCGAACATCGCCGCCAGCGGCCATGGACATCAACCAATACCTCTGCAGCCGCTCGAGTCAAGGAAAGCGCCCCAGTGCAGGGCTGGTCACTGCTACTCTCCCAACTGTTCAGCAGCAGAAATGCTGGGCTCCACGCGCGTAGTTCTGGTAGATCGCATCAGAGGCCCCTAACCTCAGAAGCCGCATGGAGCTCAGTGACTCCCTCAGTTTACCCATTAAAAATGAGGAAACCAATCCCAAGACTAGAAGGTTGAAGGTTATCCACTGCTTTTTCCTGGGTAGGCTCCAGCAAGCATTGGCTTCTTGGCATTTCTTGGCACGATGTGGACTCGAGCCGGTTAGCAGGTCACACCCCGCGGATGGAAGATGTTTCATTTGGACCAACATGGAAACGATAGTTATAACTTAGCCTTCAAAGACCATTAAAGAAATGGTTTGCACAACAATGGTTCTTTGGCAAAGACCATCAAAACAATGGTTGTTCTAATCTGGTAGTTGGTCCTTCTGCAGTTTCGTCTGCGAAGAAAATGGGTGCATGGTATGGTGCCCAATACACTTGATCAATCACCAAAATGTCCTATAGATCGGGTCTATCCTATCACCTCCGCTCCAAACGCACCCTCCACCTCCACCGTGCCAGGCGACAGCAAGAAAATGGCCATCGGCCACAGCGACTGCCTCGGTACCGCAACGAACTCGTCGCGGCCGCAGCGGACGAACTCGCCGCGACGGTGGGAGGTGGTCGCAGGTCCTATGGACCGGAGGTCGGACGTAAAAGAAACGACGCCTTCGTCGGGCCGAGGGGGCAGGAAAACCGAGGACGTCGGGCAGAGGCTCCTCTGTGCGCCGTGGCAACTCTGCGGTGAACCCGGTGAAGACATCTCGGAGAGATCTCGCCACAGACCCAGCAGCCCAGGCTCCGTCCGTTCGTGGCCACGGCCACGCGGGCGTTGCGCCGGAGAGTGGAACAAAAAGGGGTCCGCCGGTGAGGGGTCGGCCAGGGTGTTCTGTTCGGAAAAGATCCGAGTTTGGGGATTCTCATTCTGAAACCAAGAGATCAAGCATCTGCTCAGATCTTCGTTTCATTTTTGGACTTCTGAGGTCGTCCGCGGACCATCGTGGAACCAAATATGCCATGGACCGTCGTGTTCTCCGTCGGATAACTTCTTGGACCGGCCAAATCGGACGACGAGTCTCATGAGATCCTGGTTGGTAATATAGTTCTTGATATGGCTATTAGTAACAAGTGCCACGCTAGTAGTAACAGGTGCCACGCTAGTAGTAACAAGTGCCTTACTAGTAGTAACAAAAAGCTATATAGTTCTTGAGTTGTTGGTGACCTAGTGTTCATTCCAGTCTCGTCCAACGAGATCCGCACACATTCCACCAGTGTCTCAACGTCAGGCCGCCCCAGGTCGCTGGGGCATCTCTCTGTCTCAATGCACCGAAGCAAGCGTCTGCATCTGAAAACAAACCCCTGATGTCTGCATGTCTCCAAAGCAGTGATGTCGAGGTTCTATGAGAGTTCTCGACCAGGAACTAAATCTGGATACCAGCACCCCTAACTACAAATATCTTTCGGGTAGGTGTTTGAGGCATTCCACATATCAATCACAGCCAAAAGTGGACCCAAGCCCACAGCTTGCGATGCTACATGATCGCTGCAAACATGTTCCACGGGGCGACCAACTGAGCCAAAAACACCAAGAGTTCGCCTTCACAACAAATCGCCGACGAAACCCAGATAGAGGAGACCCATCCAACACCCCTTTAAGACCCATCTAAGAATCCCATCCTTCACCCAAAGTATCCAATGTACCGCTATATCTACTTGGTTGCCCTTGGTGTATGCTACTAAGCATATCCAAGCCATGTTTGAAGTCCGTCTTTTTGCGCACCACCCAGCGGCGGAAAGTCCTTCGAGACATCCCAACGGCAGCTTTG